GTCCCCTAGTCCTACTATTCTCATTGTTAAATATAAAAAAAAGATGATACATCAACACTATCAATTCTCTTTACAATCTTAAACACCTCAATCAGATTCCCGCTAACTCTACTTTTGTTCAAGCTCAGTTTATTATTTATCATAAATAAACACAGCATTCATATTGACAATAGTCTATTAATATACTGGACCAAAACAGTTTAAAACTATCAATACAAGGCAAAATATTTACTTTAAACACATTTTCTGCTATTCACTGTTATATCCAATAATTATACAGTAACCATTCACTTACCAGCATACTTTCAGATAATATTCTGTCAAAGGCAGTCATAAAATCATCATCTTCAGGACAAGGAACAACACGTGGGATATCTGTTACTAAAGCATCATCACTTTCCTTAATGCTTTCCTCACCTTCATCCTCACTTGTTGACGTAACATCCACCTCAATAGGTCCACCCTCCTGAAAAAGGAAATTACTTCTTAGGCCATCAGTTCTAAAAGTAGTTTAAATTATATATCCATGAGAACATAACATAAAACAACTATCTATATTGTATGTCCATTCCTACAAATTCTGTACCTCAAGGTTCAATTATAATGGTTGTCCAGGATGACTAAAAACTTCCTTGGACAACCAACTTACACCTCTATGTTGTTCGACGGATGACTAGTGCTCTGAAACAGACCCTTATACAAACCAGTATCGCAGTCTACTGTACACTTATCCATGCACACACATGTAATGTTGATTCCAATCCTTAACCAAAATTATCAGTAAATTCCTTAACTATAAACTTGAAAATTTGAATCCCCACAAAAATATCTTTTGGTCCATTTTTTGTTTAAAAAAAGATTGTACTTTTACAAGAGAAATGTTGGTACAATTCATCAAAAGGGGCTGAAAATGGCAGGGAAAGTTTGCTTCTGTGATTGGCTAATAATGCTATTATGAACAAGCTGCATACAAGTTCTTTATGGAGTTGAACTGAGCATGAATGGCTGTGTGTGGTAATACAGTATACTGTATACAGCTCAGTTACTTACAGTACCACAATTTTGTATATATATATATATATTTTTAGGAGTTACAACTTTTACAGTAAGAAAGATTTATTTTTAATAAAGGCACAACATTTCGATCACTGGTGCGATAAATTTCAAGTACACAAGTTTCAATGGTAAATAACGTTCAATACTTATATCAACATTCAACCAAAAAATAAAAATACTTAATCAGTAAACTGTTAACACACATTGTATTGCACAATGTTTGTATGCACATATAAGGGCAGGAGGGAATTTGCATTGAAAACGAATGCTGATAACACAAATATTTATTGAGAATATTTTCTAGCATAGATGTTTATGGCAATAAAACTAACATTGCATGTTTCAACTTCATACCAGTAAACCTTTGGTAAGAGCTAAAACAATCAAATTTACAAAATCAAACAGAATGTTCCTTGTTAACTGTGACAACTGAAACACTGTCCCCATTTTGATTATGCACATATAGGCCTAAGGCTAACGTTAGCCAGATACGACCAATCAAGTCTAGTAAACACAGAAGACTTAGCTACCAAGATAAAAGTAGGAAAGTCCATGATTTAAACAGAACATAATAATGATAACTGCAAACAATATTTTGACGAAAGTTATAATCACTATGAAACAGAATAACAAGAAATAAAATACGGCTAGTTTTGCTTCCCTTCAGGTCATTACAAACTACAAGTATGAATGACAATACATATTAGTAGTGTGTGTGTGTGCAAATGTGCAGCACTCAGGCATTGTGCACATATTACAGTATAGTAGTATGTGTAAGAGTTCCAATGCAAGTCTAGTCTTACTACAGGCTGTACTGTATCTGGCAAGCAAGCCAAGCTGATTAGAATGAAAACATTGAACGTGATTGACCAAGATCGCTGTTCTGTTTAAAAGTTTTAAAGGTCATTGACTGTTTGTTTCCTTATGATAATATATAACATTAGCATGGTTTGGGCTTATTTTTCCCAATGTAATGAAACTTCCCAGGAAATAAGGCATCAAAAATTAGTTGAACATAGATGCAAAATTGCCAACTAAACATTAATTGTACTTTTTAGAAATAAATAAGATACAAAAACATCAAAATTCTTGTAATTGGGTCTCTGTACATCAATATTGTTGTAATTGGATCTTTTTTTTAGGGTCTGTGTTTTTTTGGGACAACCTGAAATTTCCTTAAAATTGAGTCCTGTAACTTGAGGTGGTGGGATGGCTTGTGTGCCTTGAGGAACCTGGGAGCTGTATACTCTAGGCAGAGTTTCTCATGCCAGACAAATCAAAAAGGAGAAGTCAGACAAAAATAAAATTCTTGATTCTCCACATTGAAGATTGGGCATGATACCATCAACATTATCACCTAGTCAAAAACAAACAGTGACAGACCATGTTGAAAGTTGTGGACTTCCAGACAGGTTGTTCCCCAGTGGCACGTCTGTTGGGCTACAATGTTAAAAACTGGGTTTTGATACTTATTGTAGGTACAGCACAGATAGCTCATTGTGTAGCTTTGTGTTTGACTAAAAACAGACAAAAAAACCCAGACAGGTCTCCATTTAAAAAAGTGGCCAAGGTTTTGCCAAGTCTAGATTCTATATCCTCTCCAGTTTCTCCTCCATGACTGACAACACTACTTTTAAGTATGTGAAGGAGTCTGTGCTTCTTGGTGGTAACTCATCTTTGACTTGAAAGGTTTGCCACGATTTTTATCATTTTGTTGATGATTTTATAGTACAAGTTGTTTTCCATATGCAAGCAAGTTGTATTTTGTTGAATGAAGCCCTTGATGTTGGAGAGTAGAAAGGTACATGCACAGTCTTCTAAGTTGGAGAACAAAGTTATCATATACCTCTCTCTTGATCTTCATTTGTCATCATGGGCCAGTTGGAAACCAGATCCAAAAGGAATGCTGACATTATGCACCTTTCAGACACCTGATTTGCTAACAAAGCAGTTGAAGTTCTTATAGAACTGTATCATAACCCTGATTTTTAGGAACTGTTTCTACTTCTTTGGCTAGGTTGTCCACATCTTGTCTTTTCTTACCAATCACTTTTATTTTCTTACTCATTTCTGTGTACTGGGTGTTAAGTATTTCTTTGAGATGATGTGATTTTGCTTCAGTTAGTTTCTTCTTCTGGTTCTCCTTTCAGTTATTAATTTCTATATGACTGTACTAAGCTATTCCGTATGATTCTTGATTGAGTGACCTAAGATTGCTCAATTTATCTGGAGCATTTGATTTCCTTCTTCACTGATTTCTTGGAACCTATTTTTGAATTCCATTCTGAAGACGTTTCTGGGATCTTTGAATTTGCTTATATATCTTCCTGTGGTGTTATTTGGTAACCCAGTTGTCTTGAGCTTGACTAATGACAACAAGACAATTTATGCAAGGGGATGGTCACTTGTTATCGTTACTCTAGCACTGATTGGTTTCCATTTCAAGAGGGTCTTAGGCAGACATCTTCATTGTTATGATCACTCCTTCCTGATGCTGTTTGTTGTCCTATCCACATAATGAGATTGTTTCTCCAGCTGCTATAGGCTTACTGCCAGTACCACTTGCTCACTTTTTATGTGGTTCTAACATTCCATATACAATGATCTTAGGTCTTGAATCTAGGATGCCAGCTTCCAAATAACTTTCACTAACACCAGTCATCCTGATCAATTGGGGCTGTAAGTTTCCAGGATGCCAGAGAAGTTGTGTATTCCTTGTTGCTGTTAAGCCAAACTGAAGTTCTATCACAGTTGTGTCCTTTTTATCTTACTGTAAGCTTCAGAATGCTGTAGGACTACTATGTGATGAAAACTATCAAGCTTTCACAAAACATGTTTGTAGAAAAATCTTACATATACTCTGTCCTAACAAGATCAATAATGAATAACTTCATAAAATAACCAAGCTGGGAAGCATAGGGACTATTCTCAAAAAGTGGAGATTGTTATGTTTAGGGCATATGGTGCATAAATAGGCCAATAATATCTCCAAAAACTGTCTAAAATGAACAAGAGGAACAAAGAAGAAGAAGAAGACCAAAACCCATCTAGAGAAGAATAACAGAGGCAGATCAGTGAATTGCAGAGAAAGCGGCCCTAAGTGCCATATGGCATGAAGAAGACTAGGTAAGAATGCTGTATGTACATATCCCTGTTTTATCCTTATTTCTTCTGTACAGTACGTAGAAATCCTTACATGCATCTTTATCTTGCCTGTTTCCTTCTGTATCACACGTAATAATTCCTGTTATGATCTTTATTCTACTTTGTTCATTCTGTACTTAGGTAAGAATGAAAGGGATAAAACAGAAATTCTTATGCTAGTACAAGGTTAGGTAAGGGTACATGAAAGGGATAGAATAGGGATAATCTTTATTCTACTTTGTTTTTTTTAACTGTATGTAGGAATCTCCATTTTATCCTTTTCATGTATCTTTATCTTACCTTATCCTGTACATAGGAATATGTATTATCATTTTCATGATTTTCACTGTACTTGTTTTTTCTCTACTATAAGTGAAAATTCTATCTTATCTCTTAACCTTGTAAACTGGTTTTTGGTAAAACTTTATATATTTTATCTCTTATTTTCTCTACCCTAACATTAACTGAGGCTAAATCAACAATGTACAATGAAATGAAAAGTTCCAAAATATGAAATAAGATGAATAATACCATTTTTTACTCTTTATTCACTGCAGTATTTATCAAAAAGTTTCAATTGTTAACCTTTTAACACATGTTTTCTTTAAATTTTAAGGTTTTTATTGCTGAAATTTATATCCATTGGAGCAATAATCTTTGCATCAAAATCAATAATTTACAGTAGAAGTCCATTAGCTGTTTCCTATAGAGCTAACATAAACAACACATAATGTGTCATGTTTCACATCATGCTTGAGATAGTGAAATTTCAAACATTTTACTTTGCTGAAAAGTTTATAACTTTTACATTTTAATTACTTTTGTTAAACGATATATAAGAATAAATACATAAATAAAAAACAAGAATCTGTAGCATTCACTGCATACTCTAAAAATCCAAAACATTCTTCCTTAAACCTTGTTGAGTTCGAAATATAATTTATCTGGCTTTCTAAGTAAGGTATAAATAGGTTAAAACATTCTGTTATTGTTCACAGCAGAAAAATATGATCATTCCAAATAAATCAATTTCTTCAGACTATGGATTATGGTGCCAAAATTGAACAGAGACTTGTAAGATTTATGAAGAGGAGGATCTGCTCTTTCTATTGGTTATAAATGTGCCCATCAGTCATGTAAAGTTGATTAGCAAAGAATTTGAAAGTCAGATGGACTGGAGATGAGCTTTTCTGTACTCCCCATGTAGTAGTTCCAGTCCTACTTCAGTTGAATTTCATTAAATGGGAATACCACTTCAAGCCACTGATAACTATCACTAAAGTACAGGTTACATTCTCACCTCATTAGGCTGGCTCTGACTACCACTGTATAGATCAGTATCTCCATCCATGTCTTGCTCTTGATCACTGCCATCTAAACTTTGACAATCATCATCTTGATCCTCTACATTAAGAAATTCCAGTGTTAAAGAGAGTATCTTTAAAATCTAATCAATGTTATTTAAGCTCAAATAATTACTACCTTTATTTTCTACATTAAGAAACAGTATTCAGAAGAGCTTATTCATTGCTGACATCTATCACATAAGTTCAATCATTACCTTAATATTGTATATTATGTCATAATAAACTTCAGTTTAACATCTTTAATACTGACCTTGACCATCTAAGTTCAATTGTTACCTTAATTCTCTAAATCAATTAACATAAAACTGCAGTTTAACATCTTTAGCAACTGAACCCTGTTAACTATGTTCTAATAATTATCATTTGATTCTTTGTGTAAACCTGATTATAGCTAAGATAAAAAAAATCCTCAGACCTATATTTAACAAATGTATTCCATTAATAGTATGACAAGAATACTTTGTGTTTTTAATATCCTTATGAATTTCTATCAAGAGTACAAACACACCTTCCTCTTCTTCAATAGGTCCTAGTCCACTCTCCTCAGTTTGGTCAACCTCTTCGGAAGAATTTCTCAGAGATGGAAGAATTTCGACTGCGGTTGATAAAATCAATATAAGAATCTCAGGACCCCAAAACATAACATGTAACTATATTTTCTGGTACTTTACGTTACTCTGAAATAATTCTTCATTCACTTTAACTATTAACATATACATCAAAATGTACTGTGGTTGATAAAATCAATATAAGGATCTCAGGACCCCAAAACATAACATGTAACTATATTTTCTGGTACTTTACGTTACTCTGAAATAATTCTTCATTCACTTTAGCCATTAACATGTACATCAACAATTTCCTTAGCAAGATTCGCTTTCCATCTAGGAGCCAGCTGAATTTTTCAGCTTTCAGGGTTTTGTTTTAACGACTACCAAAAAAAGTTCACGTTCCACCATTGAATGATATAAATTATATTTTATGTACAAACAAGCATATACAAGAACTTCATCCACACTTATGTCATACAAAATAACATATTCTGATGTGAAACGACAAATGAGCTTGGCACTTCCACTATTTCTCATTTGGCATCTTCTGGCCATGCACATGCTTTGTAGATTTGGAGCTAAAGTACCACAGTCTCAGCAGGATCAAATTCCTTCACTGATGGGCCATTCATGTTAAACCTCAATAAGTCACTTAAACTTTCTTCTTGCACAGATGACCTGAATTTATTTTTCAGAAGATTCATTAAGATGAACCCTCTTTCACAACACACAGTCAAAACAAGCAGCACAGACACTATTGACAACAATTTTCCTAAAATTGGAAACCTTTTATTATTAGCCAGTGCTAAATCCAGAAGATCACTCAGTTTTTTTTTCCCTTACTGAGGACTTTGAATACATACCACTCATTCAGGAGAGCTTGTATACATTTATCGTACATGTTTGGTGGTGAAAGTTGTTTATGGAAATGCTTAGCCAATGTTGTTATCTCACTGAATCATAATCTTTCAGAGTGCTTCCTGTTGGCCAGGCAAAAGTATCAAAAACTGTGATGGACCTCTCAATTTTTTGCTGATTCAAAAATTACTCTTCCAAGTACTTGATAGCTTGTTGGATCAAGTTTTCTTTCTCAGATTGGATAGGAAACCTTGCAGTACTACCCAGCCCACATAGTTGTACATCTTGATACATCCCTTTCAGAAATGTCTTGATGATGAATCTATCTTCATGTTGTCTTGGTTTAAGTGATTCAAGTGATGTCATTGTGTTCTTCACATGAAATTCAACTGTGCTGAGAAAAACTTCTTCCCTTTGAAACAAAAGGAACGGATTATTTGGAAAGTATATTGATGATCTTGACACAGTTCTAAAGAAGCTCTACAAACTTTTTGAGTGTTCTCCAAAGAAAATGTGACAACTGAAGCAAGTATCTGAAAGTCTTCAAATCAAAATACAGAAATTTCAATATTTACACAATGTAAGATGGGTGACCAGCAAAGTTGGTGGTCTCTCTGCACTTGTGAAAAGTTGGAAATGTGTCCCAGTACATCTGGAAAGCATCGCGACAGAAAAAGATAGTACTTCTGCATTTGCTAAGAGTTTGCTGAGAAACCTCCTGATTTAAAATTTGTTCACATGCTTCATTTTCTCTTGGATTACCTTGGAACAATTTTTTTTACTGAACTTAACATGCTTAAATTTAATTTGTGTGCAATACAATGAACAACAATTACATGGCTCAGGTTTTGCCTAATTTTATGTACTAGTCAATTCTCTGCTCCAATCATGGTGGCTACTCCATCAGTACCAATATCAATCAGCTGAATGGACAATAGCCAGTCCAAGAGTCCATGTTTTTCCAATTCTTTTTCAATGGTGTCTAAGTAGCTATCTGCAGTTGCACTGTCAAGAGGTAGGATTGACTGAAATACTTCTCTCACTCCACTGTTCTTTATGTATAAAATCAACTCTTCAACACCTGCTTTGTCACTAGATCTATCTAGCATCAAACTAACACATTCAGCATCCTGTAGTTTGCAAATCAGTTCATTTCTCATTACTTCTGCAATGTGTGAGACAAATTCCTTGCATCTTTTGTCATTGTTATACTTATCTCTTAGTTCAACTCCCACTTTACAAGTAAACTCTAGTAATCCTTCAAAATCAGAAAATGGCTTGTTGTTCTTTGCAATACAGTAAGCCAAAATAAAAAGTGCTTTCAAATGGTCAAACACTTTTTCATCCATGCTTTTCACACATACATGCTTTTGGAGCCCATAGTGCATTACACATTTCTGTTGCTGGTATGATTTATCATGTTTTTAAATGTCTCCAGTTTGAAAGGTCCTGCAAAACCCTTCACTGTTTTAGAATTTTGATCTGCAATACTGGGGAAGGAAGCACATACCTCACAATTTGCTATACACATGGTCTGATCAAATGTTAGCCATGTAGGTTGGTTGTACCATTCTTCCTTGAATTTCATACTTTCTGCTGTCCAAAGCTGGCTTGTTGAAGGGGAAATTTCTGATAACACTTTTGTTGGTTCCAATTCAGTTGTAACTGCTGATGTTTCATTCACATTAAACTGTTCGACTTCACTTTCCAACAAAGATTGTTTATCTTTTCTTTCTAGTGGAACAGTAAAGAAATTCGTCAGTCGCAAATGCTTTGCATTTTCTTGTCTCTCAGCTGTTGCTGCATGTTTCACTTTTATGGTATCCACTAATAAAAATTATTACTGCAAAACAAAGACTAATATTTTAACTTTCCCTATTTGGGTATCCTTTTCTGAGCATGTCACAAGGTTTTTAAGTGTGTGACATTCAAAACTTAATTAAGCTACTTTTTGTTCATGTTATACCAATGAGTATAGCATAAAATCAAAGTTAATAATCCATAGTTTAATAGTATATACATTCTAAGTTCTTCCTTTTACATGGAAATGAAAAAAACAATCCTGAATTTCCCCTACTGTAAGAAATGTGACATGTTTTCTCTAGACATTCCCTCTTCTCTAATTTATTCACCACCCCTCCAGTAAGTACAAGATTTAATGTAAATTACTCACTATAATATTGTCATTGTTCAATCAAACCAAAATTTTCATAGCTTTCAATCTTGTTTGGTTACAGAGTTATCAAATAAAATTTCCTACCTCTCTTGCCACATCCTCTTTTTCAGGATTTGTAAATAGCTCTCTCTTACGTTTTATGCTACATTATTTATAACCAATAGAAAGCCAACATTTTGATCTATCTAATGACATATTATATTAGGTTGTTTTCTGCACAGAGAATTGTCAAGTTTTCTTTAAGTACAAAGTTGATTCCCATGGGAAACATATCGAGTAGCTTGGATGAATTTGTAATGGCTCTTGTCACATACTTAGAAAGCCAGAAAAATTGTGATAGTTATGGGACATTGTCTGGTTTTTGAATGATATTATTGTATGTACTTTGATGCATTAATTAATTAAATAAAAAATATTTAATGAACTACTACCATTAGTATAAAAAAAAGTAGGCTTAAGTGTCATTGAGAGTAATGTAAAAACAGGAAACTGTTAAGTTAGTTAAAGTTAGACTAGGTAAGATACATAATAATAATATAATAAATTTTCATGAAGTACCATGTAAGCAGTTCATAGGTAATGTACAATTAATAGCATAACATGAGCTGCATATCCTCTCAAATGATTTATAACTTATAATGGCAGAATTAGTGATTAGACCAGTTCAAAGGGCAATAAAACAATAAAATTTAAGTATAAATAGATGTATGCTGTTATTGGCTTAAAGCTGCTTAGGATAAAAAAAAATGTAGTTTCATATTACAATATGAAGTCATTCTAAAAATAAAAAAGGGTAATTTCTTTTCTTTCTTTTTTGTTTGGTGGTTACAAGGTCAGTCAAGTTGACCAACCTTGTATAAAGTTAGAGTAGAGAAAATAAATAATAGTTTTACTGAAACTAAAAGTTTGAAATTTATTTAAGAGGTTTTAGAGATTATGCAAATAAAATGCGAGATTTTTGAGATGAAGAAAAGTATTTTTAATCTTAACATGAAAAATCACTTAACACTCAGAAATACTATCTATATTCAAGGACAAATCTTTAGTAAAAATACTTCATTAAAAAATCTGATTTTTTGCATACAAAAGGCTTGTAATGTTCACTAAACGTCTACCAAATTTTGTGAAAATACATTTATTTACTAAAAGTTATAGTAAAAAAACTATAACAAATATAACAAGGTTACGAGGTTAGTCCCAGAGACCGAGCCCTAGTTTGAAGAGTAAACAAGTTATGAGCGAGAAACGCATGTACAAACCTGTACACACCATGAGACTACAAACTGTCATTGCATATCTTGCATCTATTACATGTTTACTATGTAACATGGATGAGCACACAAGTCAGTCACTGATCCAAGGTAAGAGGATGCTGAGCCGGGATTTTCAAAATAACAAAAACAGACATGAACTAAGAATAATTATTACTGTCGAAAATACTAGGCACCATGATGCCCAGGATTTGTCGAGCCCTGGTATAATCCATTCTTGACCAGAGAGTTTACCTTACAGTGAGGTGTTATAATTTGAGACTTTTGACTTAACTACAAGTATATATAGTATCAGTAATAAAACTGAAAAACCAGTACTTCATTTTGGTTAGCTTAAACATTAAAAATAAACAATTGTAATCTTGTTACATGTGAACAGAATTATACCCGAAAATACCAGCAAACTGTGAAGCTTATTTACAAGTGCAATTTAATGCAAAGTACTCCAAAACAAAATTATGTGTATGGTGTTTAAGTTGTTATTCACTGACTGTAACAAATACATATTAATATATGCATTTAAGAATAAATACAGTAATGCTTTTAAATTTTCAGTTGAGAAGATAATGTGAAGCCCAGTATGGTCCTGTATATGTCATCTATAGAGAATTCTACCCTTTATCACTTATACCCTGGACAAGGGCAAGTGAAAGAACAAGACTAGATATTTTATGGTGGTGAACTTAAGATTGTGTGTAAGGTGTTTGGATCATCCTTTACTCACATTTGTAGGTTTATGTTTGTGATGTGAGAAAAAAAAATTGTATTATTTTAAAGATTAAAATGTAACTACCTCAAAATACATTTCAGAAGGAGCAAACCATAATTCCCTTTATCTGCATGATATTACAGCAAACTCATCTTGTAAGAGTCAGATGATTTAAAGTGATGACTGTACAGTTCATTGCTCCTTGCTGTTACACTACATAAACTGTATTTGTAACTCTTATCAAATACACTACCAGAAAAAAAGTTAACAACAAGTTATCTGTATAAAATTATGGTTCTGTTACAATACCAAGTTTTGGCTTCAGCTCTTTCAGGAGGTCTTCAACAGCCTGTACAGCCTCTTCCTGAGAATCAGCTAGTTTAAACTTGGGTCGTAATACTTGAATTGTATCTTTCACCAAAAACTCAAGAGTCACAGGAAAAGGGTGTTCTTCAGAAAATATGTCAGAGGACTTTTTGTGCCAGTAATAACGCTGACAAAATAAAGATAAGAATTTACTGAAATCATACCTTAGATTCATTCCTTAATAGAATAATAATACACAAAGTAGTTAAAATATAAAATTCTAATCAATTAGAATATTACTGAAAAATAACTTTATTCAAACTAAATATATTAGCTGACACTCCCAGGTCTTCTTAAAAATATTCTGTTGAAAACCAATAACTAAGAAATTAATATTACTTTATTCATATTTCTCATGATTGTCCATAGTGTTTTAGATCATTCTATTTTTGATTATTAAATGTTTGTTTTACTTTATGTTTTCCTTTTATATTGTATTATGAAGACTGCAGGGTTATTTTCAAAACAGTGAGCAAGTTCATTTGCTCCTTTCTACAGTTTTAGATACTTTTTTAAGTGTTACATACTGTAAGATTGTTGAACAGTTATTAAATTCAGAAGCTTGTTGTACAAACAGAACACTTCCTTTGTTTTAATGCAAATGGATACATTCAAATATTTTTCTTTGTATTTCCAAACATGTATATCAGTGTGGTTTGTTTTTCAAATTGTGCACTGAGCTACAAGAGGGCAGTCTGTGCTAGCTGTCTCTCAGCCTAGAGAGAAGAAAGCAGTTCAACAACCCCACCACCAACCCTTGGGCTACTCTTATCAGACAGAATAGTTTCATTTGACCATTGCTCTTATAATGCACCTGAGGTCTCAAAGAGATGAGAACAGTTTATATCTATGGGGTTTTTGAGTCCTTTTTAACTCACTATATAGGAACCTAAAATAATTTAGGTGTGTGAGTAATATTATGATATTGTGCCTAATTGATTATTCAATACTATACAGCAGGCCAACTATTTAATGATTATATTACAAATTACTTTTCTTTCCACTAAAGTTAAAATATAATCCAATAGCTGGATGTGAACCATGAAACCTCACATCCACGGTCTGGGATGCTAAGTATTGGGCCATGCTCAGTCTGCATTCATGTGCATTTACTTACAATATTCTGCGACAGATTCTTATTTTACTAAAATGAGTAAAGCTATTCAATAAACTTAAACTGGACAAAACTCTATAAGATACAACCAAAAAGTTGCTTATTAAAAGTTAAAAGTGGGAAAAGAAAAAAATTTTCAAATGATACATATCTGTTGAACAAACTTATAGTGAAAGAGTACAATTTTTTTGACCATCATTATTATAAAAAATTCTTATTAGATTACCTAAACGTTTTAGTGAGAAATTATCTTATAACAGATGTTCAGAGTTAATTTTTACCTGTATTGGATATCAAGTTTTTTTAGCAATTGAAATTAAAAATTAATTACTTTGCTTCAGCAATACTGAATTCACTAGTTGTTTGTTACAAATTTTGCGCAAAGTTACACGAGGGCTATCTGCCCTAGCTATCCCTAATTTAGCGGTGTAAGACTAGAGGGAATACAGCTAGTCATCATCACCCACCGCCAACTCTTGGGCTTCTTTTTTACCAACGAATAGTGGGATTGAACGTCACATTATAAAGGCTCCACAGCAGAAAAGG